AGCTCTCATTTTTCTAGAAATGTTATGCTTGAAATGTAGTAGGAACAAAGAAAAAAAATAACAAAAATATGAAATAACCAGCATAAGCATTATATATTTCTTTGTTTTTCTGCTTAGAGACCAAAATGATTCAAGGGTCAGTACATACACATACACATATACATACAGTGAGAGATCTGTTTGTAGTTGTGATATAATGGTGAATATGTTGGACCAGGAAAACACAACCAAGTTTACCTTCAGTCATGGCAACAATGACTTAGGGTCACTCACTGTCTCTCTCTACCCGTGTGGTAGTAGTTGTAGGAAAAATTGGAGGAGGGACTGCTTTGGGACAGTTTAAGTTCCCGGAGAAAAGCAGTATATAAATCTAACAAATAGCTCAGCAGGATTTCAGTAGATTACATTGTTGCTCTCCAATTTTCTGAGAGGCTAAAGCATATTTGTTTGGGAACGTTCCTAGATTCTTCTTGAGCTGACTTCCTAATGAAGACATAGTTGGCCAATTATTGCAGTATTATTTAAACTATGGAAATTATATATTGCCCTACAGTTAATTAAATATCCCAATCTGAAATCTGCAGTTTTCAACAAGCATTTTCTGGGTAGCTGCTATCTTTCTTTTGGGGTAATTCCAAGACTATTAATCTTACAGTAGCATAGAGAACTACTGTAAGCATTGTGTCTCTTGGTGCCAGATAGGATTTCCTTGATAGTATTTCCTGATAATTTATATTTTGCATACTATCTGGATGATTGTATATTAAACTTGTCTTGTCCTACAACAGTCTTGTATTTTGCACAGATTATTGACTTGATGGATTAATTCAATGTATTGCAGGCTTAAAGAGGCTGAAGAGGTATGTAGGCAGAAAAAAGGAAAATCACTTTACAATATAAAACAAAAGCATGATTCTGGAATTGTAAGTACAGTTTGTTCTTGCTATCTATAATTAAATGTTTAACCAAGATGTAGAATGTGAGTGCAAGGTCTTAAAATAAAACTAACCTGTTTGCTAGATTTAGGCCATGGCGATGGTGATAGTGGTAGACTATAGGAATGGTGAAAGCACCAAGTAGCTCTAAATGCTTTGTTGTAGTCATTTAACCATAATGCAAGATAAATGGCTCGTTTTAAGCGTCTGAAGATTATATCCTGGGAAAATTCAACTTCATATCCAAACAGTCTGATTTAATTGAATTTTGATCTTTGAGTTATAGTAAGGGGGAAAGTTGTTCCCCACGGTTGTTTTGCTTTCAGTTATTTGGCTATTTCCACAAGTGTCTGAATTTCTCTTTAAGCACATTGTATGAAAATCTATTTGTAATTTCAAATGCCAGCAAGTCTCTCCAGTAATTATTTTATAATTTCATTTGATAAACTAAAATGCATAATAGCAAAGCTTACTGTACAGGATTTCCCTGGTAGTTACTTTGTTAGCCATCCATTGTCAGACACACATTCACTAAAGATGTGGATCCTAACCATTTCAATGTGCAGGGCTTTTTAATGTTTTCCATGGGATGATCAATGTTTCAGGTGTGTTCCATGTATGCATAGAAGACTTTCGATCCTATGAGGTAGCACGGTTATTTTTCAGGAAGCAGGGTTAGACTAATACTGAATGTAACAAAGTCACTGAACAGATGCAGGATTGTGGAAATGATGGGATAAGCTTTGGTTGACCTAACAGGTTTCTCACTGTTTATGAATATGCTAGGAAATACTGAATCTCTTCTTGCTCACTCTGTTTTGTGTCCTTCATTTTCAGAAAGCAAAGATAAGTATGAAAATATGAGAGAAGAAAAACTTATGTCTTCATACAATGGTTCAATAAATTGAACATGCCTTGGGAGGTAGGGGAAAGGAAATATTCTCATTCAGCCCATTTGTTTTCTTGATTTTCTTGCATTTTATTTCCTGTTTACACTGACTACCATGAGCATTCACTGATAAACAGATTTTCAGGATGGAATGCCCAATAATGGAAGCTATTTGAAATATGTCTCCTACAGGCACCCCATACTTTCTTTTCCATCCGGACATTATTTTGCAATGTATATGGTAGAATACTAATAAAGACTAAAGTAGTCTGTGTAAGCAGCAGTATTTCAGTGTGTCCTAAACATACTGAAAACTTTATAAACATCTAACTTCATATAGATGTTACACTTCCATTCCTGCAGAAATTTTTTTTCCAAAGCAAATACATTACAGCACTGCATTTAGACTAGGGAGAAAGTTACTTCTCAAGAACTGTTTGTATCCATTTCCTATTGACCTTGTAAATGTATTCTGAATTGGTAAAAGTGTTTCTTTTACACTCTAAGCCATGCTCTCCAAAGTTACTCCATTGCATATTGACTAAATATGCCCTAAATATGAAATTCAACCCAGCTATTGTTATAGTTGACAAAGTTGATCATGATTTGCTAATATTAAGGAATGGAACCAAAACAAAAAGGAAAAAAAAACAATTATAGCTAAGCACAGGACTCACTTGGTAGATACCAAACAATCTCGGGTATTTCAGTATGTTATATACATTGAAAAAACTCTTTGTTTGCAGAGTAACAGGAAACTTGTTGTAGACTTTCTATCAAAGTTTTGAATTGAAAAATTTAAAGAACTAAAGATCTTTCCCTTTTCTTATCATTCTAAATTATGAAGGATTATATTAAGAACCTTGGTTTTTCTGGTGATAAAGCAAAGATTATGATTTCTGTTTGATCTTACATTTTATTAAGTACTTGTACTACAAAAGGTACAGCAGCTGCAAATGTTTTGCACCACTTCAATCTCAACTGCTGAAAACAATTTAATGATTGGGCAGATCTAGTTTACATTTCCTCCACACTTTCTAAGAGCAACTTTTTAAAAGATTAAAAAAGCCAAACGTAGGGAAAAGATGTATATATCTCAATGCCTCTCAGCATAGAAGGTGCTAGAGTGATGCAATTTCTAAGTTTTGAAATATTTATTTTTCTCCATGTAACCCACTATATGATACCTGGTTATCCAGAGATTAATATGTGGTTCCAGGAATCATAAGGGCTGCATAAAATATGACCTCAGGAATTGAATTTTTAAAGTACCAATCACTAAAAAATATATTTTTCCTCCACTGGGAAATTATTTCCTGTTACGTAATCAGCCTGAAACTATCACGTTTCAGGATAGTCCCAGAACTCCATTATACGATCCAGTAGCATCAGGAATCAGGTTATTTCTTTGGGAAAGGGAAAAGAGAAGATTGTTACAAGAGACCTATCAAAAGCAATTTAAAAAGTAAAACATATTTTAATAGCACTGATTAAAACTCATGTTTGTATTTATGTAATTTATAGTCTTTTGCTGTTTCTGCATTTTTTCATTTAAATGCATTTAAAAACATTGAAGCATGTTTGTTTTGTAGATTTCCTGTTCCCTTCAGTATCTACTGTGTGTCTATTGCCATTCTAAATTGAATAATGCTACACTTAACAAAGATCGCTATGTGCAATATTGTATTTAGTGTTTCTATTCCAATTTTTTTTAGAATGTTAATTTATATGAAAAATAAAATAATGAGATCAATGTTGTATTATGCATATAGTACTTTTGGAGGTTCTTGTTGCTCTGAGATGATTAACAGTTACTCTGACTGCAAAAATAGGGACTTTAAAAGAAAATTTAAAATCCCTGTTCTGAAAAACTTGCAATATAATCTAAAATATCAGATAAAGAGAGCCAACATCAAGGGAAGAACCAGAAGAGAGAAATAAAACTTAGGCATGCCTTCTCTAGTTTGCCCTATTGTACTCAACCTGTACAGACCTAAACCAGGGGACGTTTCCTCTAGGTCTCTTACTCTGGATTACTCAGACAATACCTCATTTCTCGCAGCCATACTCCACTCAGGAAATGGATCCTGCTCTCAATTACTGATACCATATTTTTCCGACTATAAGATACTTTTTTCTAAAATCCTTACCCTAAAAATTGAAGGGCGTCTTATTCAAGGAAGTCAGCCGAGGAGAG